GTAGCTTCCTAGGGTTTTAGCTAGCATGGCAATGTTCGGTTATTTGCGTGTGATTGATCATGGAGACTCCGGCAAACCAAAATCTCTCTTTCCCTCTTGATTTCTCTCATCTTCTTGCGTGCTTAGTTAATTGCTTTCAATTGCTCTCATTTCGTAGATTAATCTAGTTTAAATTCAAACCCTCAAATTGCGAGTAGAATGTTTAGGACCTTTTCGGTTGTGTGATTTTGACGACTAGGTAGTGAACGAAGATCCAAACAACCTTCCTTTGAGAAAAACCCGAGTCGGGCAGCTCGGTTACCACATGCTCAAAAATATTACAAATAGTGAGCGAGAATTGATTGATAGCTCGATTAAATGATTCGCGAGTGACGATTGCTTGATTGCAGGTTCCCAAACCCAAAAGTGCTTTCTTTGCATCTCGGGTGTTAGGGCACCTTGTTATTTTTCTTGCTATTTTCTTTTTCTTGCAATTTGAGGTCTTGCTTACTTTAAATTTCGAATCATGTTTTTAATTTAGTTTAAAGTTGCTACCTTTAGTTCAATTCAAACCCTAAATTCCGAGTAGAGTGTTTAACATTTTTATTTTCTCTTTTTATGTGATTCAATCGTTGCTTGAATCCATGTCCAGGTAGCTTTCCTTTGACAACGACCCAAGTTCGGGTAGCTCAGTTACCATGTACCCACAAAATACTACAAACAATGATCCTAAGAATTCAAAATGTCTTTCAATCTATATTGTCTTTAATTTTCAAAAAAAAAAAAAAACAAACAAACAAACATGTTGGTCTCTATTACACTGATTAGGAAAGAAATATATAGTGTTAACAGCTGAAGAGCATAAATTTATAATCACCACAAATTAAGGCCTGTAATCTGATGTACATTTGATGATGTGATCAAAAGTTCATTAGTTGAGTTGATATTATAAAAGAAAATAAATATTTTTTATAAGTGGCTGTTATGTTTCTTAAAATCCACATACACAAAATCGAAACTTAGGATGTGGAAAACTTTGGTGTTATATTTTTTTGTTTGATTTGGTTAATTTTGAAAAAGGTGATATTGTTAGTTGTTAGTGAGTATATTAAAATAATATTTAAAACAAAATAATCAAAACTAATTTGATATGAAAGTATGAGAGGGATGATTTGAAGTGATGATTAGTTAAGGTTGTGTATGAATAATATTTGATATTGGTCTTGTTTGGCGATTAGCGGATAGCAGATGCGGATAGCGGATTGTATCAGATGATAGCAGATAGCGGATTATATTTAGCCGATTTGACCAGCGGATTGCATTCGCAATTTTTAAATAAGTGTTTGGTAATAATTGAAATCTCATAGCTGTTTGACATTGCAAAATGACCAATATGACATTATATTTTTTAGGGTGTATTCTTATAATAATAATATATTAAAACATTTGATATTATTTAGTTGGTAATTTATAAATATATATATTTTTTAAAATTTACTAACACTTGATGAAGAAGTTATGAATTTTACATTTTTCTAGATAAATTAATTATATGGATGACATATTATTATTTATTAGCACCATAAACCAATATAGATTGTAAAATAAATAATACAAATTAAAAAGTTCCAAATAAATGATTTTTGTGAATTCTCTATCCCAAAAAGTAACTCTAATGAGCATTTTCTAAATTAGAGTTTTGGGCCCAAAAAGCTTATCAAATAAGCTATTTACCAAACATGCTCAATAGAAGATTTGACGGGTCAAACCTCTCAATTAAGTCCAATTCGCTAATTTATCTTCAATCCGATATCTTCCAAACGGGGCCATTATTTAATTGTACTGATAATACTGACGACAATGAGTTAATTAGTTAATATCGAGTTTAAAAAAATATCCGAGTTAAAATGTTAGAATTTTTTGTATGGAAACATACCCTTAATAATTAGACTTTAATATTGTTGAAATTTACACAAGCAATTCCAAATTATTAAATTTATTCATAAAATTGCAAATCACCATAAATGAACACATAAAATTACAAAATATCAAATATTAATAAAAAAAAAAAGAAAAAAGAAAAGAAAAACAGTGAAAATTTTAATTTTAAATTTGAAGAGTAGTGTAGAAAAGTTGGTGTAGGTAATTAAGCTAAAAGAGGTGGGACCGAGGAAGAAGGGGATGGGATGTGAGGGGGTGCTGCAAAATTAGGTTTTACACAAAACCGGTAAATTGTGGGAACAAGCGTGGGAATTGGGTTGTTATGCCTTGTTTGGCAATTGAAAAGAAAAGTCCCATCAACTAAATGACAAACAACCCCTCTTTTACTTTTCCATGACTGTGACAACTGATTTTGGCACCTGTCAATTCCCACCTTCTTCTTTTATTTCTTCTTTCTTTTCTTTTTCTCTCATTTTCTTTTGTTTTTTAATGAAATCAATTTCTGTTCTGATATTTTTGGACTTGATTTTTGTTTGAGAATAGGCAAACGCGGCCTTGATGCGGTGTATTACTGTTGTTGGTTTGGATTTAATAGGGAAATATTAGGTAGAGTTTATGCCAGGCTTTTAGGCAGAATAAAAGAAGAATAATAGAATAGTAAAAAAAAATAAAAATAATAATAATAATAATAATAATAATAATAATAATAATAATAATAATAATAATAATAATACAGAGTATTGAACAGTAATTTATCTCCACTCGAAAAACAGAAACTTACACTAATAAAATTTAGAAGGTAAGTGAAAGCATATTAATAATTTTATAATAGTAATTTAATAAGTTATCATTATTTTTTAGTAACTGTGTAGGCATAAATAAATAATTGTGGACAAATTTTGGACTTATAGGCAATTTCTTGAAGTTCATCTTTTATTTATTTTTTTATTTTTTTTTTTTGCGTCAAACAATATGCGTTTGGTTCAGGAGAGAGAAGTCCAAAATCGCAATTTGGATAAGCATTTGCAGTTCGGTTGGGCTGAAATTACTCTATTTTACGCATTTTGAGTGCCGGTTGGAGTTGGTCTTATAGTTAGCCTGCGTTTGGGAGAAACTTGTTCAATGGACACTTCCTTTAATTCATTTTAAAACTCATTTTAAATTTATAAATACTAAACTCTCACCATTACAATTAATTGACATATTAATTCGTGTCCATCGTGTGGAGTGTCATCTGTTATAAGTCGCACTTTTTATAAACAATTAACTTTTCATTTTATTTTTTGCCAAGATTAATTAAACAAAAATTATTCCATTGCTTAATTCATATATGTATCTTGAACTCTATAGGGTGAAAGTGTAGCTATCCCTTGATAATTTTGTGCAAATAAAACAAAAATAATATATACTAAATAATTTTTCAATTGTTAGGAGTTGGTGAAGTCTCGAATTGCAATAAATTGTGAGAGGTTAATTGACTTTGATGAGATTGGAAAGGCCGTACAACAATGAGCAAACTGGTGTTGTTTGTACCAAGCAAATGGGGCTTTGTTTTATGTAAACTTATAAGGAGAAGCTAATAATTGCTTACAAAAGAATCATTTTTCATAGGACTTTGTTTGGCAGTCATATAGTATCTTGTTGGTTGTCTTCTTGTATGTATGTATGTATGTATGTAATGTACCTCTTCGTTCTCTTTTTTTCTTTGGTAATCTCAATTATCTTTATTAGTGAAAAAATAAATAAAATTAATTTGTGTAGCTTCTTCTTTAACCACAAAAAATCTTAAAAAATGTGTGTGTATATATATATAGTATTGCATATTATTTTTAAATTGAAGTGACTTGTGATTGACACATTTTATTTGTTTTTATCAAAAATTCTTTTCACTGTATTGAATTCTTTTCACTATATTTAATTTTAATATATATATATATATATATATATATATATATATGTGTGTGTGTGTGTGTGTGTGTGTGTGTATTATTTTATTTAGCAATCAATATTTATCTCATTAATTAAAAAAATAAAAAAATCAGAAAAAAAATTATTTTTATAAAGTATTATTTACAATCCACTAATATAATTACAAAAAATAAAGAATAATCATTATTATATATTTGTCAACAAAATATTACTCAATCACTTACATATTGTAAATATTGATCATTAAAAATTAATATTTGTTAATTTTATTTTTTATATTATATAAACTTCAATTATTATATTTTATTTTAGGCCATCTCCACATATTCGGACTATCTTGGTGTAAAAAAAGTTGCACTACACTATAAAGCCATCTCGCTCTAACAATCTTCACTTCAAAAGTTTTCATTTTCGTTATTTATTTTACATAATTAAAAAAATAAATGTTAACTTAACTAAAATTCATTTAATTATATTTACCACATGTCAATGAAAATTATATCAATATATAAAAAATAAATTCAAAACTTTAGTAATTAAAATTGTTGTCATATTAATACCACTGTTTTAATATCGTAGGTTTATTTATTGTATATAGAAAGTTGGTTCTACTATGAAACCAACTATTGACTTCATAGCAAAATTGTATACTAATAAGGCTACAATCCCGTTACAGACTGTTGGATTTGTAACCGTTAATTGAACATGTTACACCCATCTATATGTGCACGGTTAAAAATTCCAACGAAATGGTTCCGTAATGGAATAACTAGTAAGTCTAGATATATTCATATAACTAACACCAAGATATCCATAAATAATTACTATACACGATATATAATAGAGTGAGTCGAGGTAGATGAAAGATATATAGTCCAAAATGGAGACATTTGAAATGATACACCTATATTTTGTCTGCTAGTCAGAAAATGTTTGTACGGTATGACCAACTTAGTAACCCTAGATTTTCTTTTTACATGCAACTCTCTCTCTCTCTCCCCAAATTACTCACTTTTTTCAAAACCCTAAATTAAAACCCTTCTCCACCATTATTTTCTCTATAAATACCCTACAATATTTACATTACAACTTCCCCACAAACACACACACACACACACACACACACTATATTAACATTGAAGCATCAATTAATGGATATGGCTCAATCGTCCGAGCACCTTTGCTACGTCCGGTGCAACTTCTGCAACACTGTTCTTGCGGTACACATTTTCACATCGTAACATCTTTCTTTTTATCAAATTCGTTATATATATGCACACGATTTTTTAATTACATACTAAAATATAAAAGTATACTAATTTGGGAAAGCATATCGATATAGGTTGGGATCCCATGCAAGAGGCTGTTGGAGACTGTGACGGTGAAGTGCGGTCATTGTAGCAATCTCTCATTCCTAAGCACGAAGCCTCCGGTTCAAGGTCAAATTTGCTATGATCATCAGAAAACCCTACATCAGGTATTTTTTTTCATAAATTGTTCTTTTTTTTTTTAATCTTAAAGAAAATTATTTTTAAAACAAAGAAAGTTATTGGGTGTACAGAGTTTGTGCCAAGAATTCAAGAAAAGCATTGCTCCGTCTTCGTCTTCGTCTACAGCCAGCGAGCCCTTGTCCCCAAAAGCTCCATTCGTGGTGAAACGTATGATAATATATATATTAATGCTTCATCTTTTTCAATATTTGTAATATTTTTATTATTTTGCCTTTTTTCTTTAAAAAAAAAAAGAAAATTGGTTAATGGTCATTGTAATAATAATTATTAACATGTTTTTGCAGCTCCTGAAAAGAAACACAGGCTTCCATCAGCCTACAATCGGTTCATGAAGTAGGAAATTAATAAATTTCTGTACTAATAATATTCTCCTTAAATTATGTGTATATTATATATATCTCTATGTTCTACAATATTTAATAAAACAACAGATGAAATGAAATATTAATTACAACAATAATTATTATTATTATTATTATTATTATTATTATTATTATTATTATTATTATTATTATTATTATCATTATTATTATTATTATTACATATTCTCTTCAGAGAGGAGATACAGCGCATCAAGACAGCGAATCCAGAGATCCCACATCGAGAGGCTTTCAGTACAGCTGCTAAAAATGTGAACTTTTTTTTTTTTTTTAACTTTAATTATATGCTCATTAATTATTCATGCATAATTAAACCCTTTTTATTTATTTATTCATTTTTGGAGAATATATATATTTACTTAATTTTTTAAATTACTTTGTGTGTTTGTGTGTGTGTGGTGCAGTGGGCCAGGTACGTTCCAAGCTCCTCAGGAGGGTCATCAGCTGTTTCAAACATTGGTAACAATGTGAGAGTTAAATTTATTAAATTAATTATAATATTTTTTTTAATTATATTTAACTGTTACCATATTTATTTTATTTGCCAAGATAATATTTTTTTTTTATTAACGCTTCTTCTCTTCTCTATTTTGATTAGGTTTAACTCTATGAAAGCTGGTATTTAGCAAGGAACGGCGAGTAGGGCAAGAGTAGTTAATTAGCTATTCATCAGCTTTAATTAATTAAGTTTTCAAGCAATATTAATTAGTTGTTTGCTGTGTTTGTAATATTAATCAATTAAGTGGGACTTTCGCTTCCTTTTGTACCACGAGATATGATCAAGTTTTATTATTATCTTTTATTGTTACCTCTTTGTTGGGATTATTGTTTTATTCTTTCTGAGATTCAATGTGTATTATTATGAGTTGGGACTCTTAAATGATATCTTAAGCAGTCTTTAATTTGAATTTGAGAATTGGCTGACGGCGATGCCGTGTTTAGAGAAACATTTTTGGACTGGAAAGAGGAGTAAGGGGGGAAAAATTCAAAATTAGTCCCACAGGTATAGGGGGTGACATTTTTGGTCCCAACGGAATCCAGAAAATATTAATAGTCCCGCAGTTTTTAAAAAATGATCAAAAGTAGGACTTTTTCCAATTTTTCGGCCCGGAATGCCACGTGGCCACATTCATCTGACGTGGCTGAGTACAATGACAAGGAAAAAAAAAACAAAACTAGTCCCACAAATTTTGGGAAGTGACATTTTTGGTCCCAAAAGAATCCATAAAATCTTAAATAGTCCCGCCACGTGTGTGCGACGTGGCATTCCGGGCCGAAAAATTGAAAAAAGTCCTACTTTTGATTATTTTTCAAAAGCTGCGGGACTATTAATATTTTTTGAATTCCGTTGGGACCAAAAATGTCACCCCCCTATACCTGTGGGACTAGTTTTGAAATTTTCCCAGGAGTAAGGTTCTTAGGGACCATTTCTCGATTTATGCGTATCATCCTTGCGCAGGGGCCATACTAATCTTCTTTGTATCGTTCCAATTTTATCGGATGTCCCTGAAGGGACGAGTAGGGTTTATAGGGAAACAACATTTCTTAGGCATATTGGTTTTCCAGCAAAATCCTTGGAGGGTGGATTTTCCAAAAACATTGACGAATTTGTGCTCTCTTATGCAATTTTAAATGTTTGCTTTGTTGGATGCCATTTTTTGTGTGTGTTTTGAAAATGTTCTGCCTTGATCGCGGTGGAGATCGACGGTAGCCGCGGCCGCCTCCACCAATTTTCCGCCATTTGTCGACGATTCGAATGATTGTCCGGTGGCTCCGACGAGCTTATCTCCAGCTTGTATGAAGCCTCACCTCCGAACCCCTCGCCAAGAACAAAATCCAACCTCAAAATATTAGAATTTGGGGATATAATGGACATTTTTGCTTGGCTTTCACTGTTTTGATAAAATGAATGATCATGCCATCCCAGAAGGATTAAGTTATCATGAATATGCACAAAAATATGGGATTTAGTAACGGATCGTAGGATATCCACCGAGCCGCAATCATGTTATACAAATGTAGGATAAAGGCAGGATAGAAAGGGTATCATATCTAATCGGGAAAGCAAACGAAGCCTTACAATTTTATTTTTATCCTTTTCCATCTATTGATAAAAGATACATATTTTACATTATTTGTTTCATTCGGTTTACTCATATGGAATACCATACTTAAGGGAACAAATCAGACGATTAGGTCGACCGAACTGTCTGGTCGAGTAGAACTGCAACCGGATTGATAGTGGTCGAATGTCATAATACACGACTAAGAGCCTTCAATCTGGAAGACAACATATCGGGTATAGGGCAACAACAACAGGTCGAGCTACATCCCTCGGATAGCCTGATAAAAACTCACCCTGTAGCATAGTTGGTCATACGATCAACCATAAAGGACAACACTTGGGCTCAGAACAGACAATATTCTACCTCAATAGACTTCAAGCACGTCGTACCATTATGCAGTCTAATACGAAGGACTAGTGGATATGAAATAATTTTATTATAATTTAATGCTACACATGGAGAAGGATACGTGGCACCATCTGACTGGTCCACACCCTGTATCTGTCACTGACAATATGGGCAGTGCGGGATGTACAATCGGGTAGCTCGGGTAGCTTGGGTTTTGTTTGTAGTATTTTTGGGCATGTGGTAACCGAGCTACCCGACTCGGGTCGTTCTCAAAGGAAGGCTCTTCGGAGCTTTGTTCACTACCTAGTCGTCAAAGTCACACAACCGAGAAGAAGGTCCTACACATTCTACTCGCTTGAAAGGGATTGATTTAAGCTAAATTAATCTACGAAATTGAGGGCATTGAAAGCAATTAACTAAGCACGCAAGAAGATGAGAGAAATCAAGGGGGAAAGAGAGATTTTGGTTTGCCGGAGTCTCCATGATCAATCACACGCAAATAACCGAACATTGTCATGCTAGCTAAAACCCTAGGAAGCTAAACCAATCTCTAGCACAAAACGAGCAAGCATTTAACTCCTAATCACACTTAGTCAAGCATTCTCGATCCAAAGATTCAATCTTTTCCTCCAACCAACATAAGCACAATATCAATTTTCACGAAAGCAAACAAAGATATACGAAGTAATGAGGCTTAAGACTAAGTACCCACTCTGACACACACTTGGAAGAAGAAACGGAGTCAAAAGCTCAAAACTTTACTCGAAACAATGTCGCCGGAAATTCACCGGAAAACTTGATTCATAAGCTCCAAACCAAAATATTAAAAAGGAAAAAAGAAAATAGAGAGAATTTTCCCAACTTAAAAGTTGGGAAATGAGGGTTGTGTCCAAAAAATACAAAGAACAATGTTTATTTATAGCTACACTACAAACACACACTAGAAACACGCACATTTAGTCAAACACTCTCGAGGTCGCCACAAAATTCGCGAGCTCGCGCGTGGGCATGGCACTGGGCGCGCATGGAAGTGGACTCGCGAGGTCGCTGGGCATTTCGCGGGTGCGGGGGCGCTGGACGTGCGCTGGCACGGGCGCGGGCGTGCGTTGGCATGGGCGCGGGCGTGCGCTAGCATGGGCGCGGGCGTGAAGAAAACAACACTCTCGAGGTCGCGGAAATTTCCACGAGCTCGCGGGAATGATTGGAGGGCACTCTCGAGGTCGCGGGAGTTTCCACGAGCTCGCGGGCGTGCTGCGGCGTGCGGGCGTGGCGCGGGCGTGCTGCGGGCATGCTCCAGGCGCAAAGGAAGTGCGTGGGATGCTCGAATGGCTCTAACTTTTCGCACACAACTCCAATTCGCACGAAACTTGGACCAAAATTCTCCTCATTGAATTCTCTTCGTCCCGGTATGGCTTGGTCAGATTTTCCAGGTTGGACGACTCGGTCGGCTCGGACGGCTCGTCTCCTCGTTCTCGACAAGTTGGACTTATTCAACACCAAAACAAAAGAGAGACGCGCAAAAATACGAAAACACTATACAATAACAAAAATACACAAAACACGCTAAAATGGACCGGTCGACACTAAAACGAGCCTAAAAATTATAAAATAAAGCACACAAAATACACAAAAATAACGACAAAAACACAATAAACAACTCCCCCACACTTAACTCTTTGTTTGTCCTGAAGCAAACAAAATAACAAGTAGTTCGAAAGGAGAAATTGAACGATCCAAGATTAACAAACATGCATCATGTAACTCTCATTATCATCCGGTTATTCACAAAAAACTCAAATCCGAAGGTACGGTTCCCACATATGAACTCAACAAAACAAAAACAAGCCCAAGTTATTCAATCATGATTCACTCAAGTCAAGCTTCCTTTTACAACAAACACGTGCAAAAAACTAAAAATGGTCAACTCAATATACAAGGTGATAAAAACGAGACCATGAGCCAATTCCCCATTTTCTTTTCATTTTCATTTTTTTTAATTAATTTTTTTTATATGAGTTACTTTTTCCAAATGAGAGTCGTTAGGACAATTATTACCTAGGTTTATCCTTGGGGGTTATCCCCGAGTTTGCTAGGCCGGTTTCCCGTACTACTTAACCCGGTTTATCTAGAAGACTAACCGAGCCAAGAGGAGCCTAATCCTTTCGACTCTCACGAACTCATTTCCGTGAGCTTCTCTTTCCAAACGAAGTTTCCGGATGAGATGATCTAGGTTTAACCTCGAGGGGTTTCCTCGAGTTTCCTAAACCGGTTTCCCGGGCTCATTATCCCAATCCATGAAGTGGCTCGGAATAAGAGGAGCCTAATTCGTACTTCCTCGCGAACTCACATTTTGTTTCTTTCTTTTTTTTTTTCTTTTTTTTAGGGGATGGCGCACACGAGTACATCACATACAATAAACTGGGAAACAACCTAAGTTACTGGACTAAAATTGCAATTTTCTCGGTTAGGGATTCATTAAAAGTTCATATGACTTACCCTCACCACAATCAACAGGTAATCTTGCACTTGGAGTGCTATAGGAAATTGCTTTGGACATTTATATGTTCCAAGTGCTCGACTGAATATTCATAGCTTAGTTTTCCCTTTGAACCAAGTTTGTGGGATCTCCACTCAGCATGGTAGGGTTACCACTATGATCATTCTTTACATTGTGGATTTTTAAGCCCATCCCCTCTAGCAAAACTGTCAATTGATCTCTATTCAATCCTTTCGTCAAAGGATCAACCAAATTTTCCTTAGACTTTACATAGTCAATGGAAATAATATCATTTGTGATCAATTGACGTACGGTATTATGTCTACGACGAATATGTCTAGACTTACCGTTATACAAGTTTCTTTGCGCCCTACCTATAGCAGCTTGGCTATCACAGTGAATCATCACAGGCAGCAAAGTCTTATCCCAACATGGAATATCAGATAGAAAATTTCTAAGCCACTGGGCTTCTTCACCAGCTTTATCTAAAGCGATGAACTCCGATTCCATCGTTGACCGAGCTATACACGTTTGTTTTGTGGATTTTCATGAAACTGCACCTCCTCCAATACAAAAAACATATCCGCTAGTGGAGCGAGAATCTCTCGAATCTGATATCCAGCTTGCATCACAGTACCCTTCAAGTACAGATGGATATCTTGAGTATTTTAACCCGTATTCAAGGGTGTACCT